AATGTTACCTACTACTAGTACCTCTGCAATCCCATGATCAGACTGCAGTTTTTAAAATACAAAATAGGACTGTAGTATTATGTAACATCTATTAATCATCATTTTTTCTGTTTTTTTTAAGTTAAGGTCTTAATGTGGGTGCTTCGACTTCCATTTTAAGTGTACTGTATACTCATTAAGTGTGAATAACTGAAAGCAAAACCACTGGGGAAGGGTTGTGGGGAAGAGGCCCTTGTCCCTATCGGCATGGGGACACCATCCCATTGCGGAGGGCACGTGGCCTGGCAAGCCGCAGGGACGGTGGGCTGCTCGATTGTGTCCCCCCCTATCCTGGGCTGCCAGGCCTGTGCTTGGATCAAGGGTCTGGTAGGAATTTAGGAGTGACTGGTATGGCTTTTAGAGGGAACCCCAAGCACTTTTACCCCCATTTTTGGGAGGTGGAATTCCCCTTAAAAGTCCTACCAGGCCTAAAGGGCCTAATATTGCTTTTAGGGGGAACCCCACTCATTTAAAAAAAAAACTATTTAACTGTGGGATCCCTCCTAACCTTTCTACCAGACCTAAAGGTCCTGGTAAGGATTGGGGGGGGACCCATGCCGTTATTTTATTTATGTATTTTTTGTTTTATTTTTATTTCGTTTTTGTAATATTATAATTTTTATTATTATTATTTATTTTTAAATTCTTTTTTCAGGGAGAGTATTTTCCCCTCTTATACAATGTGGAATGGGGGCTGTGCACTGTGAGAGCACAGTGCATTGTGGGGTGTTTGGCAGGCGAACAGTTGGTGGTGCCTTCACACTGTAACCCTTCAGAGTTATTCTTGACACGTGCAAGACCCTGCTCTAAAAATTCTAATTATATGCATCTGTCACAGAGTGGGTTGAAAAAATGGGCCTTGGGTGTTGGTGCCTCTGTAACCCCTTACACTCTTGATGAGTGCAGGAATTGGCACTGCTCTAAAAAACTGAAATTAAATGCACCTGTCACACAGGTGTGGAAAAATTGGACCTTGGGTGCTGTTGGTGCCTGAACACTGTAACCCCTCACAGTTACTCTTGATGAGTGCAGGAATGGGCCTTGCTGTTAAAACGTTTTTTAAAAATTGTAAAAAATTGAAATTAGATGCACCTGTCACACAGGTACAGAAAAATTGGGCCTTGAGTGTTGGAGGTGCCTGAACACTGTAACCCCTCACAATTACTCTTGCTCTGTGCAGGCATGGGCCCTGCTGTTAAAAATTAGAAAAAAATTGTAAAACATTGAAATTAGATGCACCTGTCAAGCAGGTGCAGAAAAATTGGGCCTTGGGTTTTGGTGCTGGCTGAACACTGTAACCCCCTCACAGTTACTAGGTGCAGGAATGGGCCCTGCTGTTAAAAAATGTTAAAAATTAGAAAAAATGTGTGAAGAAAAGAAATTACATGCACCTGCCAAACAGGTGCAGAAAAATTGGGCCTTGGGTTTTAATGGTGCCCTAAACTGAAAAAAAGCTAGGAGCTTAGAAGATAGCTTAATCAGGATTCAGGAATATGATAGGCAGCATAGGCAGTCTTCAAGGGATCCCAGATCCCTAACAAATTTAATCAGTTACATCAACATCAGGGTCTTGATTGCTGCTGTTGATCCAGGACTGATTCATTTTAATAAATGCCAGCTGGTCAACTGAGTCTGTGGACAAATGCACTCTTTTATCCATCACAAAACCTCTAGCAGCACTGCGGACTAAAGAATTGTTTAAAGGCATTGGTCAGCCAGCTGCCTTCTCCACCACTCTTTCTTTGAGAAACGAAGCCTCAGAAACACTTTGTCCAGGAAATGGTAAGCTTCCAGTGTCTGGAAAGGTGTTACACAAATGTTTCTTCAAGGCATCCTCAAGATGTTTCATCCTCTGCTCTATTTGTGAAGGCAGGATGAGTTCTACAACTTTATCCTTGTAATGTGAATCAAGAAGGTTGCCAACCAGTGATGATCCCTCAACTTGATACAATGAATCCTCTGGTCCTTTCGCAGGCTTTGCAGAACCAGGGAGCCTATGCAGCGTAAATTTGAGGAGTCATGAGATTCTGAGTCTTCTGAGTCACTGAGGATGACACTGTCAGGAACTTCCTCCTCCCAGCCATGTAGTACTCCTGGCTGGTTTCTGGGGACTGACAACCATCCCTTGAAGACTGCCATATGTTATCCTCTACTTCCATACTGGCACAATCCTCCTGCTCCTCTTCCTCCTCCGGTCTGTTCTGTGGCCCCACAGGAATGGTGCCTGCATAAAGAGGGCCTTGAGAGGAAGTAAAGTCCTCCTCTTCCTCACACTGTTCTGCCTCAAGTGCCCTGTCCATGATTCCATGCAGCATGTGCTCCAGCAGGAAGACTAGAGGGATAGTGTCACTGATGCATCCATTGTCATGGGTCACCATCCTTATGGTCTCTTCAAATGGTGACAGGACAGTGCATGCATCCTTTATCAGCAGCATCTGGTGTGGTGAAAAAAAGCCAAGCTCCCCTGAGCCTGTCCTTGTGCCATACTCACACAGGTATTCATTGATGGGCCTCTGCTGCATGTGAAGCTGCTTCAGCATTGCCAATGTTGAGTTCCACCTGGTGGGCATGTCACAAATGAGGCGGATGGTGGGCAGGTTGAATTCTTGTTGAATGTCAGACAGCCAAAGACTGGCCATGTGTGACTGCCGGAAATGGCAACTGACTTTTCTGGCCTGCCTCAGAAGATCTTCCCCCCCCCCCCCCCCCCCCCCCCCCCCCCCCCCCCCCCCCCCCCCCCCCCCCCCCCCCCCCCCCAGCATGTCTGGGTACCTGTTCAAGAAACACTACACCACCAAATTCAGAACATGTGTCAAGTGTCCCTTTCGGAGGGTGGAGAGGAGGTTGATGCCATTGTTGCCTACAACCATTCCTGTTTCAAGCTTCCGTGGCGTCAACAACTTCTGAGCTTGCCCCTGCAGAGCTGACTGAATCTCTTCCAGAAGCACCGCATGGCATCTTTTAGCCTGATCACTTGCATAGCCCCTTGAATGCTTAGGGAGCACTGCTGGTTCAGAGGATAATTCAGCAGAAGAGGCCATAGAGAAAGAAGAAGAGGAGGGGTGGAGCAGACAGATATGGCAGACTCACCACCAGCTTTTTGGATCTGTGGTGGAGGAACAAGCTCCAGAACTGAATCCTGTCCTGCATCCTTCCCAGCTGCCAGCAGAGTTACCCAGTGCGCCGTGAAGGAAATGTAATGTCCCTGAACACGCCTGCTGGACCACATGTCAGCAGTAATGTGGACTTTGCTGCTGACAGCCCGGTCCATCGAGGTCAAAACATTGTCTTCCACATGATGTACAGAGCTGAAATGGCTAAAGATGCAGCAACAGAACCTGATGCTGCAAAATAAATACATAAACAAATTGACAAAGAAAAAAAAGATTGGAACAGCAGTGATGCAGAAGTGCTGTACAAATCACTGACACTTCACTGACACTACTACACTGCTCTTCACAACATTGCACTACACTGACTACACTGCAATGTCTCCTAACACACCACTAACTACCTTCACTTAACTCCACCAACACACTACACAAGGCTGCTGTGTAAGTAGCCTTATATAGTGTGGGGCATGGACAGGGGCGGACTGACAACTCATGGGGCCCCCGGGCAATAGGGGATCATGGGCCCCCTGTGTCCTTGCCCAAACTCAAAAAAGCCTATGAAAAAAGTACCAGGGGCATCTCATGGGGCCCCCTACTGACCCGGGCCCTCGGGCAGTGCCCAAGTTTCCAAATGGTCAGTCCGCCCCTGGGCGTGGACTTAGCCCGTGAGCCATGATTGGCCAAAAGACACAGAGACCTTGTCCAGTCATGGCTCTCACAGTACATTGAGCTGTGATTAGCCAAAGCATTGCACATGACCTGTCACCAGGTGCATTGCTTTGGTCAATCATAATGCACTGTGAGAGTGCAGTGCACAGTGGGGCCCTCACCGTTCATGTGTTTGCCGAACACACAAACACCCGATGTTCGAATCGAACATCAATACTAACACTACTCTGGAACTATGTCCAGTACTGTCAGGCAAGAAATGGGGCTGGATTGCATCCATATAGCTATAGTAAAGCAATTGACACAAATCACTATATACATTGCACCTATGTTTCCACGCTTATCTGATGTTTTGTCAAACTTAAAGGATATAATGAAAAAGCCATTTATGTCTTTATAAAACAAGTTTAATATGCTGTTTATTTTCAATTTTTAGATGATTATGAGAGATCACATATGTATTTATTCCGTCCTTCCTGTTATTTACATTTAAAAAGGTGCAGATTGAAATTGTACTGTAGCATGGGGTACACACCACTGTTAAGAGTTCTACCATTTTATCACTTAATACCATGTCAGATATTGATAATTAGTTGACCTGATAAGTACCTACTGTATGGGCATACCACATGTGATAATTATTCAGTAAATCATGTCATAACCCACCATTATTTAGTGGTTTAAAGCTGAACTTCAGAAAAGAGAAAAAATGTACCCTTGCAGTTGGCCCTTCCCACACTGCAATGGTGGAATTCTTGTTTTGTTTAAGAGTGCATGGATAAGGAGTAATACTAAACATACTCCCTGTTCCCTGGCAGCATCCTCTCCAAGGGGCTACTGGCCGTTGCAGGCTTGTCTCCCCTTGTACAATGTAGGGTTGATATCCCACCACTTTTGATATACCTATGCTGCTTGAGAGCAGTGCTGGATCTTGCTAGAGCCAGGAATAAATTCAGTAATTCACATTATTTCAAAATCCCTAAACTAAACAAGTATTTAGTGGGGGTTCACCGCAAGGATACATTTTGCCTCATTCCTAAAGTTTAGATTGCTTGACAATATTTAATATTTTCTACATGATGGCATGTTGTAAAAGCATTGTTGCAGTGCATTCCTTAGCTCCCTATTCTTAAAACTGTATATGATAGGATTTAGTAGTGGAGTCACCACAATATATAATAATGACAACAGTTTGTTCACATTAAATGACTGATTATTAGAAGGCACCACATACATTATTATTAAAGTTCCATAGTACATGCTGACTACTATTAAATGAGAACTGCAGGTTGAAAAGGTTTTATATCTTTCTTTGCTTGTGATCATTTTTAATATAGTACGAAGAATAGAAATGTAAGACCAGACAATAATTATAAAAGGCCAGAGGGTAATGCAAAATGAAAAAACAAGGGCTTCTACTTTAATTTCAGACGTGTCTGAGCAAGAAAGACTTAGGATGGGCTCCCGATCACAAAAGAAATGGTCAATGCCATTAGTCTTGCAAAACTGCAAACTGCTCATCATTATAATTGTCCCTACTGTAGCCATAAAACCAGTTGTCCAAACAATAACTGCAAGTGTAACACAAAGTCTTTCATTCATGATAGAGGTATAATGCAATGGGCTACAGATGGCTAAGTAGCGGTCATAGGACATGACAGCAAGAAGAAAGCATTCTGTTGTGGCAGAAGTTCCAAACATGTAAAACTGAAGAAAACATTCTGATACAGAGATGATTACTCCATCAACCATTAGTAAACATAACATATTAGGCACAATATTGGTGGTCAAGAGTATTTCACATACCGATAAGTTGCTTAAGAAAAAGTACATAGGTTTGTTGAGTTGTTGAGATACAGATGAAAGCATTATTATTAGAACATTTCCTGAAATTGTAAACATGTATGTCACTAGAAAAATGGAAAATAGAAATTTTTTGAAAGGAAGAGGTATTTGAAATCCAATCATAATAAATTCCTTGAGGTTGATATTTGTCTCATTCATTTGTACGGTATGTATTCTAGATTATTGCCATCAAATGCTGTGACCAGTGAATTTTCATGAATCAAAATTGGATTAAATCGACATGTCATAGGGCTTATGTAGGCAAATTTAGCTTGCATTGAGATGCTTCTGGGTTGCTTCTGACATGCCTTTGACCTTTGCTTTGTGTTGTTTGAGCTTACCCACTTGACATCTATACAGAAAAAAAGCTTGTTGTCAAAAGTCATTGGTACCCAACTAAATTTCTCCTTAAGTTTTTTAACCTCCATTAGAGTAATTGCTTTGGTATCTGACTGGATAATATAGACAAAATATGTATTTTCCATTCACATACTTAGCTGAAGTTTACATTTTGTCCTCCATTACCCCTCTCTAATCAGTTGCGTTCCCCCTTATTGTTAAAGCGGGATTCCAAATTTCCATAAGCTCCCATCCATAGAACCCCACAACCATGGGCCAGAGTTATAGAGGGAAAAGCCTTTGTCCTCATCAACATGGGTACAAGGTACTTTGACAAGGAGTATCCCCCTTGGCAATGTACCACAGCCAAGTTGAAATCATGTGGCCTGATATGGTCCAGGAGAAAGGGAACATGCTTTACCTCCCCTTTCCTGGCCTGCCAGGCTGCATGCTTGGATAAGGGTCATGTCTAGGTTTTTGGGGGGAACTTCTTTCTTTTTGTGTGTGTGTGTGGGTTCCGCCTTAAGATCCATATCATACCTGAAGAGTCATTGACATGGATCTACATTACTGTACAATATGATTGATGATGAATGAGCATTGTGTGACTTTTTTTTAAATAAAAGGACTTGTCAAAACTGTGTTTGTACTAGGTACCCCTTACCTATTAACATAGGGGGGATTCAGTATCTAAGGGCCCCTTATTTTTAAGGTGGGATGGATTCTGCAAATCCATGCACATTTTTTGTAATACATTTTTGGCATTTCCCACAACAATCCCTATCACCATGATGATAAGGACCATGTATGGTTAGTTTACAGCTCATTCACTGGCCAAAGAAGAGTATTCAGAGTGCATGGCATGCCCAATTCAGGTTTTCTGGAATCATGCCAATGACAGGAAAAGATGTGAATATAACTTTATGTAGCACTACCCATGTAGGGGCCACTCTAGTTTAACAGGTTCTTTCCCAAGACAGTGCAGAGGCAGCCAAAAACACAGTTCATTCACTCTGGCTCAGTAAACTTTCTAGGGGATATCTTTTTAATATTTATTGCTAAAGTAACAGGAGGAGGACATGGAATACTCCTAAAATGCTTGAGCACAGTTCTGTAGAGGGCACTTCTCCATAACAGGTAGAATGTAACAATCTATGGGTTCATGGCTGGTGACCATGAAGTAGGTTTGAGCCCAAGTAAAGGTAGACAGAAACAGTCCATAGGTTCATGGTTGTAGACAATGAAGTAGGTTTGAGCAAACCTTGAGGCAGACTGTAACAGTCTATAGATTCACAGCTGGGGAGTAGGTTTAAGCACAAATAAAGGAAACTCTACTTACAGAGTTCTTGAACAGGATCAGTCCATAGGTGCAGCCTCTTGTAGAGCAGTCCAGCATCCCCCCCCCCATCCTACAGCTTACAGCTCTATTCCCCTAGCAGTTAGGAAAAGTACAATCTCCTCAGGGCTCCAGACTATTTAACAGGATCCCAGACACTATCTCGGCACAACTCCCAAAGGATTGTCTAGGCCCTGCTCAATATTCAGGCTGGCCATTTAAATTCTCCCTCCCTAAGCTGCAGAAACTTCTTCTAGAGCCAGGAGTAAGCAATCAAACTCCTAGCCTGTGATGCCCTGAACAGACCAGAACAAACAATTACTGCTTCCCTGATTACAGAAGGAGCTAAAAACTAAATTTACCTAGCAGCCTAATAAGGAGATTGCTACATATACAAACTGAAAACTGAAATTATGTGACTTTTCAAGTGCCAAGAAAAATTCTTACACAAATAAAAATAGTTTTTTACTTGCTTTACTTTTTCTTTCTTATCACTTTATGAAGACATCTATGAGCTAGACCGGTCTTGTACCAGTTGCACTGATAATAGTGGATATTACCGCTGTTCTTTTAAAATATTTTTGTATTTTATGATGCTTTTATACAATAAAGTGAATAACTATTTTTATTTGTTTATGTAAGAAATTTTTCTTGGCAACTGAAGAGTCCCTTAATTCCAGTTTACAATTTGTATGTCTATATTCAAAATGTGGTGTCCTTTGATCTTCTCTCCATCCTTTCTATACTTTATGCTCTGTGATTATGACTAGTGGCTGGGGTTCTGGTCCTCTAGGAATGTCATTGTCCATTTTTTTTTACGGGTAAGTTTTACTTTAATTATATCTCCTAGATTGTAAGCTTGAAGGAACAGGGCCCTCGAACCCCTTGTGTATCACATTGTATTGTTTCGTACTGTCGCATGTTCTATCTCCCTTTGTAATGTACAGCGCTGAGAGAACTGTTGGCGCTTTATAAATACTGTAATAATAATAATATTGTATACTCATCCCTGGTGTGTGCAGCAGTGTGGGGCTACTGGTGGAGACCCAGGTGTGGCAGATTTATCCATTAGTGGCAGTATATGCATTTTTTCCGTGAAGCATATTTTGACATGTCTGTCACTTTGAGAAGGCACTTTGTTGCCTCAATAAATCTGGAGCTTTCAGGTTTATTATTGGTTTGCTGGCTATTGTTCTAAATAATTTATAGTATAATATCGCTATTGGCCAAACACCCCAGATTGGGCAGGGAGAATATGGTGCTGGGTGGACTGGACTTAATAAGATTTTTTTCCTTAAACACATGTGCACCATCAATCTACCTATGCCATGCCTTTTAAGGTTATTTTGTTTTTTGGTAACATTTTTGGACATTTTTGCTGTCTTTTTTACCATATGGAGAATTTTTTGGATACTGATCAACAGTCCACTGAAATGTTGGGCACTCATTCATATAATCTCTTTCATATAACACTCTTTCAATGAAACTCCTCCTCTGCGTTTGGTGATGGCATGTTGGAGGATTTACTTCGTGATTACAAATGCCTTAAAAAACACTGCACTGATCTAGAGCTAAAAAAACAACATTGGAAGACATTGAAATTTTGGGTAAAATGAGTTTAAATTGCAAACCACAATTTGTTAAACGTCATGCTCTTGGCACTAAAAGAGACAGGGGTGCTTTCTGAATGCAGAGGACATGTGTGCAAGATTGTAAGTTGGGTCTCCTTCTCCTTCCTCTGTCTGGGCTTATTTCAATCAATGGTTAAACAGTATAAATATATGGAAATGTAAAAAATACCCATAAAGGTAATCTAAAAAAGTACAATGTAGAAGCAACATAAAAAAGTGTTATCAAGTGGGAGCAGGAGGAATGGAAAGGACAGAGACAGGGAGGGTAATTAGGGGGTAGAGAGGGGGAAAGAGAGGTAAGTGAAGAAGGGGGAGAGAGAGAGAGGGAGGGGGAGAAGAGCAGGGATGGTAAGTGTTCAGTGTACAGAATTCTACCCCAAAAAACTGAAATCAGTGCTGCTCTCCCTTGTGTCTCTTTCTTGGTTGTTCATGAAAAATCTATGGCTGGTGCCCTCACCAATAAATTACATATGTAGAGACAAAGATGAGGTGAAGGTGAATGTGGCAACATGGGTACCCCACCTCCTCAATGTAACATTATTAAAAATGTTATTGAAATACTTTAAAAAACAATATTAATTAATGAATATTACAATTATATCAAAACACAAATTACTAAAATATCAGTATATATTACAGAAAGTACCAACCTTTTCCCAATAAAGATCAAAAGCAAGACTTTAAAGTCTATTTTGATCTTTAATTAATATGTTTTATAATTTTAAATTGAAGGGCTTTTTTTTACTTGTGCTGTCACAGTAACCTTAAGCATCTTAGCTGTAGTGCAGGACTTTTGTCTTCCACTCTTCTCTCCTATCCTCTCTCCTCCTTCCTCACAGACTTCTCAGCCTTAATAAGTTGAGATCTGGGATGGGACCACTGCAAAGCTCCAACCCTGCTCCACAGTACAAAAAGTTTGGCTGGCATATTTTATTCATTTACTTTTCCTGCTCCAGCCAGAGTCAAGTGTAGCATGGAGCAAGAAGGGTGAAGTTACAGCAAGGAGGCACATGGCATTGGCAGCAAAAAAGTAGGAGGCAGTATAGCTACTTCATATTTTTCCCTCCCTTTGCTTGCTAGCTTGAGGTGACTGGAAAGTGCTGTCAGCTGAAACTGGCTCTGTTTATTGCAAAGGAACAGTTGCCAGTTCTAATCCTTAATGTTAGCAGTAAGTGCATAGTGGGCCTTAAAGACACACTAAAGATATGTCACTGATAACAGGTGAAGGTGCAATTGTGTCAAATCAATTGCGAGATAACAGCTTTTGAAATTACTTTACATGAGAAAGCCACTTTTGAAGATGTTGCTACCTTTGAGTTGCAAAAAGACTGACAAAGACATTATATCCAATGCAGAAAAAAATCAAACTCATTGGCGTTAATTTACTAAAACTGGTGAGTGCAAAATCCGGTGCAGCTATACATGGTAGCCAATCAGCTTCTAACTTCAGCTTGTTCAATTAAGCTTTGACAAAAAAACTAGGAACTGATTGGTTTCTATGCAGAGCTGCACCAGGTTTTGCATCCAGTTTTACTAAATCAACCCTAATAAAAGTGAAACATGTAAACCTCTGCCAGAACTATGAGTGACCTGTTTTATTTGTAATTCATGGCCACAAATACATTTCACAGGCATTTTCAGAGCTTAAGAGGTAAAATGGTTATCACGTAATCCACCCCTATTTCTTCAGATAGTGATCTTCTGATAGAGAATGGTGCATTTGATAGTGATAAAGCTCAAGGAGAATCTACAGGTACATCAGATACAGTAAGTTTAGCTTTTCAGTGGGCTTCAGCAGACAAAAATTCATAAGGGGT